GAATAGAATGAGGATAGAATAGAACAGAATGAGAATAGAATAGGAATAGAATAGAATAGACCTTGTAGGTCATCTAGTCCAACCCCCTGCCCAAGCAGGAGACCCTATACCATTTCTGAGAAATGGCAGTCCAGTCTCTTCTAGAAAGCTTCCAGTGATGAAGCTCCCACAACTTACGAAGGCAACTTGGAGTCACGGCTAGCATCAAGGCAACCTGGGACCTCTGAGGGGGGGGAGAAGGAATGGAATTGTCAGAGAGAGAGAGAGAGAGAGAGAGGCAGAGCCTGGGCCATTTGTCAGCCCTCAGATGGAGAGTCAACAGCCCCCAGGTCCGGAGGTGGGTGATGAGGAAGAGCAGGAACAGCTGGGTCCAGTGCCTGAGGTGTGGATGCACAGAATGCAGAGGAGAGGAGAGCTGTGGAAATCTATGGGCTGGTCCTTGGGATGGAAGAGCCACTACCGCTAGCGAAGCCCCAGCCTAGCTCTGGGGATAATGTTGATGGTTCTCACTGTCAGAAAATTTCTCCTTATTTCTGGGTTTGAATCTCTCTCCCTTATTACTTTCCATCCATTATTCCTTGTCTGGCCTTTGGGTGCTTTGGAGAATGGCTGGACCCCTTCCTCCTCTCTTTGGCAGCCCCTCAAGTATTGGAAGACCGCTCTCCTGTCTCCCCTGGTCCTTCTCTTCCGTAGACCAGCCATGACTCCAGTTCCTGTAACCGTTGCATTTGTCTTCTACGTGTTCTTGCCTAACTTGGACTTTTTTCGCCCCAAATGTGCAGGTGGAAGATGAGATTGGCACCTTGCGCCAGGTGTTGGCGGCCAAGGAGAGGCACTGCGGAGAGCTGAAAAGGAAGCTGGGCTTGACTCCCTTGGATGACCTGAAGCAAAACCTCTCCAAGAGTTGGCACGATGTCCAAGTCTCTAACGCGTAGGTGTTCCCTCCTTTGTGACCTTGTATGTTGCTGCACGCAGTTGGGAGATAAAAGCACTGAAGACGTAATCTTTTGCAGCTCAGCAAAAAAAATTAGAAGGCATGGGTAGTCCTCGACTTACGACTAGCTGCTTAGCAGTTGTCCAAAGTTGCAACCATCCTACTTTGAGATGACAAGAAGTTCTGGAGTTCTGGACTATAATTGAGCCCAAAATTTATATTGCCAAACGAAACATTTGTTAAGGTAGCTTCGCCCCATTTTACGAATGTTCCTGCCATGGTGGTTAAGTGAATCGTTGAATTTGCTATATTATTCATGTGGTTGTTAAGTGAATCTGGCTTCCCTATTGGTGGGATAACCCAGGGTGGGATACAAAATAAACACAGTCACAAAAACAGGTGAAGCCCCTTTTATTCCTTCACTTTGCTTCAAAGCTCCAAATAGCCTTGACTGGAGACAGAAAACTCCCCCACAAGCAGTTACAAAAAGGAGGAAATGCCATTTAAACTAAAAATGCCTATAAATTATAAAGAGTAAAAACAACACAAACCACACTGAAGCAATTAAGGGAACCAAGCAAGATAAAGCGTCAGACGTCCACAGATATCAGAACATACAATGGGAAGGGCGCTAAACTCAGAGGAGAACAACAGACTAGAGATATTTCCATGCTTTGTTTCCAGCACTGGCCCATACGCATGTCCGTCTTTTTAACCAGTTCTCACAGCTGCAGCCCATGAAGGGGATCAGGGCCCTTTCCTCCCCTCTAGACCACGCCATTCACATTTCTCCCTTAGCCACTCCTCCCTGCGTGCCCTAGGATGAAGAGGGGATGGGCCTGGGTCTTCCTCTGACTGCCCAGCCGGGCTCTGCCCTTCCCTAGTCTCCTCCACACCCTCCGGAGCCACACTTGCACTCCCTGTCGGCAGTTCCTCCTCTCCCTCGGAGTCAGTCTCCAAACGGGGGCATGACAATTGGCTTGTCAGAAGGTCGCAAAAGGACACATGACCCCAGGACACGGCGACCGTCATAAATATGAACAAGTGTCCAAATTTTGATCGTTGTGACCATGGGGATGCTGCAACAGTCATAAGTGTGAAAAAGGGGTCACTTTTTTTTCAATGCTGTTGTAACTTTGACTGGTCGCTAAATGAACGGTTGTAAGTCAAGGACTACTTGTACTTAACAATTCAGTTACAGCAGTTGGAAACACACACACACACACACACCCCACATTCACATGACCAAACTTCAGCCACTCGGCAACCAGGCCACATTTGCGGCCGTTCGCAGCATCCCGTGGTCGCATGATCTCATGACGGTTTCACCGAAAAGTGGCATTTATTTCCCATTTCAGGGAAACGACATCCATAGCAAGTTGTTGGTTCACATAACAACCTCAGCATTTACCTAACTATCACCCCAAAAAAGATTTTATTATTGAGTTGGTCATGTGCTCATTGTACGATCATGACGGGCAGGCTGTGGTTAACGGTCATAAGTTGAGGACTGCCTGTACTTTCCTTCCTTTTGCCTCATGTTGTATCTGTGAAGCCCTCTGCCTCTGCGGTCCTCGGGCAACGGACTTGCATTCCGAGGTGCCCCTGGGTAGGGCTTCCGCTGCTCATTGGGGCAGGCAGGGCCTTGCGCAGCGTGGCTCCCTCCAGGGGCCTTAGAACCACTTGTGGCATCCTGGGAGTTGTAGTCCTAGTGGGTCCCAACTGTGGAAGGCCTGTGTATCTGGGAGAGGATAGTTTCTCTCAGTCACAGGCATCAGTGTTCTAACGGTGACAAAGTTTCAGTAGAAAACCTGGTGATTTTGAGCATTTATTTATTCATTTCTTAAACTTCATTGATTTATTAAATTTCACATATATATTTATTAAATTTCATTTCTTTATTGAGTTTCATTTTTTTTATTGAATTTCATTTATTTTACTTATTTATTGGATTTTATTTATTCAATTTTATATTTTGTTTAAATTTCATTTATATTCAATTTCATTTATTCAATTTCATCTATTGAATTTTTCTTTTTTCAATTTCATCTGTTCAATTTCGTTCAATTTCATCTATTGGATTTCATTTATTAATTTTTATCTATTTATTTAATTTATTAAATTTCATTTATTAAATTTCATTTATTTGTTTATTAAATTTCATTTATTTAATAATTTCATTTATTGAGTCATTAAATTTAATGTATTTATTCATTAAACTTTTATGCTGTCCACCTCTCCCTCACAAAGGACTCTGGGCAGCTCTCAGTGCCATAAATAACAGAACAAGACCACGAGATGATTAAAACATCAGACATTAAAAGGGAAAAGTTAAAAGGAATATGGAAAGAGTTGAAAATGGGGTGGAGGTGAGACCTACGTATTTATCGGTATTGGCCTCATTGAAGCGTGCCACCCAGGGAGCAAACAAAACGGGTTCATTTTTGTATTTTTCATTCGATCCCTAATAAATTGCGGTTTGACTCTGCACAGGTGACAACATGATGTGCAGCTTGCAGTGCTGCATAGCATTTTTCCTCTCAGGAACATAATCCAGATCTATCTTCCCTTCCAGTCATTTTTCTCCTTTTCCTGACAATCAGGAAGATTAATTGTCTCAGAGGTGATTTTCCAAAAGGCAATTGGACTTTCTTAGGGAGAAAGAGATGAGCAGCGAAACGTCTTCAAGATTAAAAACCAAGGAGGTCCAATTGCCTTTTGGGAAAGTACTTTTGGGACAACCATGACATGGATGACCGAGAATCTCCACAAACATCCATCCCTGGAGTTTTTTTACGAAGAGTTTGGACATCCATCTGTCTGCAGTGGTATCAGGCTATCTGCCTGATCTGGGGGGTTTGGACTAGAAGACCTCCAAGGTCCCTTCCAACTCTGCTATTCTGTTGTTCTGTTGGAGACTTCATGGATAATACATCCACCTGGTCTTCTTGACCACCAAGATCGACATCATCTTCATCCAAGATGGCATTTCTCAACCATAGCAATTTTAAGAAGTGTGGACTTCAACTCCCAGAATTCCCCAGCCCAACACCTCTCTATGGTTCATTAAAGGCCCCCCCTTTTTTCCAGGATCCTGGATGAGCTGAGAGATCATGATGATGATGATGATGATGATGATTATTATTATTATTTTCGGGACACCCTATGGCAGGCAGCTTCAAAGCAGCGTTTCTCAATCTCAGCCACTTGCTGGCTGGCTAGGGAATTCTGGGAGTTGAAGTCCACACATCTTAGAATTGCCAAGGTTGAGAAACACTCACCTAGGATCCTTTCCGCTTCTGTTCTTCTGATTTTTTTTTCCTCTTGGGATTGTTTTTCTCCCTCTCCCCAAGTTCCTAGTCCCCATTTTTTTCAAGAATAAGTGTGATTGACCCCCGGGTTTTCCTCCCCCCCAGCTATATGAAAACCTCTGAGAAACTCGGAGAGTGGAATGAAAAGGTCACGCAGTCGGATTTGTGAGTTCCTTCTACCTTGCACACACTGCCTTCTTCTTCCTGGCTCTGTCGCCTTCCTGGCCCTGCGCCCTGTTATTTGGTGGGCAGAGGCTGCTTGCACGCTTGGGATATGGCAGATTCCCGCCGGGGCCTTTCGCTTCTTAACTTTCAAGACTTATTCTTCACTGGGAAGTGCGTTTCTTGGCCGTGTTGGACACTAAATATCTTGCGGGCTTCCCTGAAGGCCCAGGCCCACCCCCTCTTCATCCTAGGGCACGCAGGGAGGAGCGGATAAGGGAGAAACATGAGTGGCGTGGTCTATGGGGAGGAAAGGGCCCTGATCCCCTTCATGGGCTGCAGCTGGGAGGACTGTTTAAAAGGACAAACTGTGTATGGCAAAGTGGCTGGAAGCAAAGCGTGCATTCTTGTCGAAGCTAATTTGGGTTTTGGCTTCCTCCCAACTGTGGTTGCTGCGTTATCTGGTGGAAGTCTGCAATTTATCATCCTGGCCTACTGTATTAATTATTTCAGTGTGGTTTGTGTTGGTTTTTTTATTTTAATTATTTTTACTTTGGGTTGGACTGCATTTACTCCCTCCGTAGACTGTTTTTTTAAAGAGTTTGATATCCAGCTGAGAATAATTGGACATTGGGGCCAAGTTGGAGGCCTTAAAGGGAATTTATTCTATTTTTGTGACTTTGTTATTTTTGTTTCACGCCCTGGGTCATCACAACCGCGTTACTAATCAGCTGTAGTGATTCGCTTAACAACCGAGGCAAGAAAGGTCGTAAAATGGGGCCAATTTCACTTCTCAAATGTTTCACTTGACAATATAAATTTGGGGCTCAATTGGTTGTAAGTCGAGGACGACCTGTGTTTTTTAAAAAATAATGTCTCCTTTAAGACTTAAATATTTGGCTTAAATCTTTGACACTATTCCATGGTGAAATTCTTCTAAGCTGGTTATATTCAGTCTGGCCGCCTTCCAGGCTCTTTTCCCAGAATCCTTAGCTACACCTAGAGAGAGCTCCAGGTAGGTGAAGGTGGGTTTAAGTTTGCTTTTAAAGATTTTTTTTTTAATTGAAGTAGACCAGCGGTCTTCAAACTCAATGGCTTCAAGACTTGTGGACTTCAACTCCCAGAATTCCTCCTCCAGTCATGTTAGCTCAGGAATTCTGGGAGTTGAAGTCCACAAGTCTTAAACTTGCCAAGATTGAAGACCCTTGCTCTATTCTATCTATCTATCTATCTATCTATCTATCTATCTATCTATCTATCT